CTGAAAATTAAACATTTGGGAACATCTTTCAATAGTTTACAGTATTTTGTCTGTCAGTCAGAACTCCACTAGCAGCTTGGATACTTTGTGCTGGTTTGTTGAACATCAATGCAAAAGACCTACCCTTCAGTGGCCCATGCTGTGCAGGGGGTTGTCTACGATGACTGACTATGGCTGATGAGGTTAAGGGCTGAAAATTTATTTTGCAAGGATTCAGAAATGCAGGCATTTTGTGACTTATTCCACTGGTATTTTTAGGAGGGAAGGTGGTTTTTATTTTAAGAACCCAAAGAATTAATGACTTTCAGACTTCTCTGTACTAGGCCTGGAAATACATATTTCTTCTAGATGAGACTCTACACTACTAAAGCTTAGTATTTAAAATAGAACCCATATAACAGGTTATTGCAGTCAAACTCCCTCTGACTGGCTTCATTTCCCTGTGTCAGAAAGTAATAAAATCTTGAGTCTCTGGAATTATTATTTCAGTTGAAAGACTCTGACACCATTCATCGTTTGGGATTGAAGTTACTTGCAAGACTACAGTATTTCTGTCACTGTTTAGACAGGTATTTGGTCACTGTAATGACCTGAGCAAAGAATGGGGAGCCAGGATCTGCTCTTTGCCTTTCTTTACCATCCCAATGTTTGTTTGTTTGTTTGTTTGTTTTTCCCTTCCGTCCTTGGTTATTTTGAAAGGACCATGAGTTCGTTTTATAAAGTATCTGCTAGATGTGAAGTACCGTATTTGTGTCTGTGCTACAGGAGGAAAGAAACTATTTGACTCTAGACAGCTTTGTCTCAGAGGGACCACACCTCAGTTCTGCTGAAATACACTGAGTGTCAGCACCTTATGAAACATAAGCTCTTGCTGCATCTTCCTTAGAATAAGGTTCACCTTTTTGTGGGTGCAATATTGTGCAAAGCCTGTACAGGATTTCAGGCCTCAGTGCTTCTGTAGGAGAGACTTAAAAGTAGAGTTTAGAAAAGAATTTCTGATGTTGCAAATATCCTATACTTTATTCCATTTTCAGCACCTTTCTATAAATTTATTCTTCATCAGGGAAGAATTTTGATGTCATTCATTATTATTGTTATAAATTATAATCCATACTACAAAGATGCAGACAAGAAAAGTTGTTGAACTGCTTATAATATGGACTACCCCAAACTTAGTTTTTAAATATGGAGTGAAATGTCTAAGCTTTCTTCTCTTTAGACACCAGAAACTCTTCCAGACTTATAATACAAGAAAAAGCATGACCTCTTCCCACCATATAGCTGCCCTCAGATAGCCTACAACCCTTGCTATAGTAAAGCTTTTCCTGACAACACTCTCCAAATGAGCCCAGATGCCTTTTTGACAGATAAAAGCAATCACCAAATTTCAACACCTGTACAGCTGACTGCTCACAAGTTTTCTACTTCAGACAGTAAACCAGAGAAGGACACCACCATCATTTTTTTAGAGGCCAGGAACAGTGAAGAAGTAGCAGGACCTTGGCTGGGTTTCCATATGCTGGGGACAATTCGGCATCATTCAGGTGAGGTGATGCACAGTGCTGAAAAATTGTTGGTCCCTATTCACAGACACTCTTATAGATTATGAGAGTCATTCAGATATTCTGGAGTTTGATGACAGCAGTACATTTTACAGTTACATCTAAACCTGAAAGAGACTTGTGGCCCAAGAGAAGGCTTATTTCAAGTGCTATAAATTCTGATTTACCAGTACCAAAGTGTGTAGTGGAGTGTCACTGTATTCTCTAAGCACTATGGTTAAAATATGTGAAATTACTTAAGGAAGTACTAAAGAGTGAAATTGTAAGCTTTAAAGACATGTATCAATATAGAGTACCTGCTGTAAAATCTCTTTTTTTTTCCCCCCAAGTTTTTCCTTCAAGAAGTTTGTACATGTCCAATATTTCATGCACCCTTTTTTCCCCCTCAGAATCATATGTTATTATTTTTGCAGGAATTACATTTGACTGCTTCAAAGCACTAATAATGCGAGAACATACTCTTTCTATTTGTTATTTGTTTGAACATTCTGATTTGTCAGTTAGTGGTTTTGTAACCACAAGACCAGCTGATCTGAAAAAGACTGTGTTTCTATAGTACCTTTATAGCTGACTGCATTTCCCCAGATATTCTAATTAATTTTTTGTGGGTTTACCCCTCATTGTGAAACTAGTGACTGTAACACACATGATACTCAGCTACAATTTGTTTTCAGAGTGGCTTAGCCTTCCACACTTTCTCATATTTCACATGCAGCACAGTGAAGTGCTGTTTTCTCCCTCTCATGTAATTCAACAACCTAATAATTAATCTGAATTTCTCTGATTAAAGGAGCACCAGAGGGCTTAGTGCATGTGAAAGCATCACAACACAAATCATTTGTGAAACAATCATTTTCTAATTCCTCGGTGTTGACTAAGTAAAATATTTACTACTATATTTTTAACTAGCTACCAACACTCATTCAGTTCGTCAGAATATCTTTAAATGAGACTGAGATATAAAACCAACTCAAGATCACTCTGTAAAAAAAAACAAGCCTCTGCAAGGGTATATTGGATTTGCCCACTTGTAGGTACGTCCAAGCCAAGTTAATTGTTTAAAATGCATTAAATTTAATTATTGAAATTCAAATTCCCTGAAGAGTGTTTAGTTTTATGCTATGTGTGAAAGGTATAATCTGAAATGTACCTATACTAACCTGTAGATCCACAGACATATGGAAATTCTTAGTTAAAATATCTCTGTAAAAGGCCCAAAATGATCCGTCTCACAGAAAATAAAACAGATTGCTAAGTAAAGTCCTTGGAACATCTCCCACAGACCTTTATGCAGATCCATATGTGATGGAAGTTGATACTATGCCATGACAGAAAAAGAGAAAATTGAGTTTTCACATCTGAGGGATCTGATGATGTCCAAGGTGCTTCAGACAGCAAGGTTAAAACACTAAGAGTAATTAATGCTTCCTTTAACTTGATTCCTTCAATGTAATTAGTCAAGGCAACGCCACACCCTACACTGATGTCATTTACCTGGACCACTGATGTCATTTACCTGGACCTGA